TGAAAAATGTAGTCAATTCAAGTATGATCAGTTGACCGAGGACGGTCAATATTTATGAAAAAGGGAGATGATGAGCTTAGAAATGGAGCACATCTAAAAACTGATAAAAGGGGCTAAATAATTTATTTTAATGCTCCAAATACTTGAGAACATTCCATAATTTCCAGAAGGCTAATTCTATTATTATATTCGTCTAGGCATGTCTAGAGACCTAGAAACATCTAGAAAGGCCAGGAACATCAGTTCTGGACCGCTCTAGTAGCACAGCCACAGAACTCCGGCCTAGGTCTGAGCCAGAACAAGGGTAATCTGTGAGAATGAATTCTAAATTGTGGGTGTAGAACATCCTAATATAGAAGTTTGATTTGGTAGAATATTCTAGAATGCACAGCCACAATGACTCCAACTGAGTCATACTGACTCCAAATGAGTCAGAATGCTTCTTTGTCACATCATTGGTTTAATTGTCACATCATTGTTAGTTATTTTTCTAAACAGTATATAAGGAGCTCAATTGTAGTAGATAGAATAATAGTGAGCACCCCAGGAGACCACTAGTTGTGACACCACCACTGTCACATTAGTTAGTTTTGCTGTGGTATCAAATTGATCTTCCCCAGAGGATTACTGAGGGTGACACCACAACTGTCACAACCGGTAGTTTTGCTGAGGATTCCAACTGTTAGTAAACTCTGAGTGATCCTGTGTATAGTAAGACACAGATATAGTGAACTTGTGCATAGTAAGGCACATCCAGTGAATTTGTGTATAGTAAGACACAACCATAGTAAACCCTGTGCATAGTAAGGCACAACCATAGTAAGCCCCAAGTAGATTGGCTATAGTAACAGTCAATTTACTTACCTGGTAGTTGAGTATTGGTACTCTTCTGCTAAAATCCTCAACAAACTTCAAACCTTTTGTTGTTCTTTGTTCATCCTTGAAAGTTCTCTTTAATTACAACACTCAACCTTTAAGTTCCACCAGTAGCACATCTGAATCAGTTAGTCGTTTCCTGCGGCTCGAACCCCGAACACAAACACATACATATTTTGGATTTGATTTAGTTGGTTAGATTTGATATTTAGCTACCTAGCTCATTTCCTCCGTGTATTAGTATCTTGTGCATATGGCCTCAGCGGTGGTTGTCCCAACTCTCCTGGCGCATTTCCAATGTTCAGATGATCTGTTCCTCGACAGTGTTTTAGAGTCGCCGTTGATCACAGGTCCAGGCCCCAGTCAATTGAGTAGGTTTTCGCCGTTTAACCGTCCCTTGGCACTCTCGACCCTCCAGCATGATCCGAAACCACGTTCCAATGATGTCAGTCGTCGATACCAACAGAGATAGGGGTGTCCCTTATCTAGGAGAAGTCGATCTCGAGTCTCCACCGAGCGCCAAACCGAATATGCCTTTTAGAATACACTCCCTTTGGGTATTTTGCGTAGAATTGGATAGATTCTAGCGTAGAACGGGCTCTGCGAACTTTTCCTAGTCAAGATTTTGGAATCACTGAGAGCGATTTGATAGATTTTGACTGGAGTTTGACTGGTTCTTGTGCAGGTAATTCCCTAGTTGACCATTCGGGACTCATGTCAACTCTGAGACGTGCGCTGAGCAACAAAATCGACAAAAATAGTCGTTTCCTGGTCTGTCCCAGACTGCGGCTTATCAGCGGGCCCAGGCTGCGTGGCGGCGTGGAACGGTCGACGGGGGGGCGGGGCGGGCGATGAGGGGCGGGCGATGAGGAGAGCAGGCGTGTGTTCTCGTTGTCGCTTGGTTGGCTTGGTTGTGACCATCTTTCCACGAGCCTTCGTGGCCGCCACACGAAAAGACCGCAGTGGCGCAAATGATAAGTGCGGGGGCTTTTGTTCTCGCGGTAGCTTTTTTGCGGGCCTGAAGTAGACAAGTGTGAGTATATAACAGACGATCATGATGTGAAGGATTGGGAAACACATGGTTTAAGATGGTGTACGCGTTCAGCAGGGGACCGCCATACGAGGGCCAGCTGCACGCGGCGCTGAAGCCTGCTTCTGGTGGGCAACTGCGGTCGTTCGTGTTGCACTTATCGACGCCTTCGGAAACAAGCGTATTATGTGACCCCAGAGTAGAGCCTGAGCTACCCACAGCTGTCATCCACCTTAACACGGCGGCCCATGGGGATGACTTTGCTGACTCGGAGAGTACACTCAGCGTGGCCTCAGCCCAAGACACCCGTGCAGCTGGTGCTGGAGTTTGTTCGACCTGTTTGACTGTGGAGATCTCAGATATCTGGTGATTCGTACCTGGGAAGGCACCGCGATTCACGGCATATCGCGAGCCGGGGCCCGGATGGCCGCTGCGCGGCCAGTGGTCAGTGTGGTGAATGGCGTGCCAGTGCTGGCGAGATTTTGGGTGGACTGGGATTGGTAGTGTGCTGTGCTTGTGATATGTAGGGCACTTGAAAAGAGTTCTTGTATGACTCTGTGGAGAAATTTCGTCTGGTTGACGATCGCGAACTTTATGTAATATCGCTCTCGTTCTTGATTCTCGAGTCTCGATAGGCTAGCTCCTTTCTTTGAGTTGGCGGTTTGTTGGAAGTGAATAGCGCAAAACGTTTGTTTACGTCGTGTACATAGATAAACTGTAAAATCGCGTCACCGACGTCATGATTCATCACATCACGAACCGACCTTTTTTTGCAAACGACCAGCACTGTCTGCTCAAACTGAGATGAACTATGGTGGCGATGGACTTGAAGCTAAAGGACCACGCCGTTGCGGGAGCGGCTACTGGTAGCGCATAGCGAGAACCTCCAGCCATGGGTTACTTACTTGGAGGAAAGCAAATGGCGAGTTGGCGATTTGGGCCCTTGGTACGTTGTCCTGGCTGTCTCTGAAGGTCAAAATCCTCATTCTGTGGCAAGGCTTACCTTCTCCTCTGCTTTCCCGTCGCGACCGTCACTCGCAGCATGGCTCTCGGAACACAGTTTTGCAGCAACGCCATTATGCCATCCGCACCACCATGTCAAATCGAGCGAGCCAGCTCCAAGTCCGCGCTCTGCCGCCACAGAACACCATTTCAAGCCTCTCCTCAACGGCACGGCCGACCTGTTGCCTTGTGCGACCGAAAAGGGAGGACTGGGGGATTCCGGGAGGTCGAGGGACAGGTACGCACGCATCCGCTTCTTCAACGGTCCCGCGTTCGTCCCTCCGCTACTCGACTGCCCCTTGCTCCATACACCCACTCACTGCGCGGCCCTTGAGCCCTCCGACTGGTGTCTAGCTGCTCCAAGCGCCAGCCAGGCGCAGTTTTTCTCGGCTGCTCTATGCGCCACTGGCCGGTTCAAGACGAGACGAAGCGGGCTTCGTTTTCCAGCACTCCCATTCTGGGCACAGGTTAAGCCCGCACCAAGAGCGGCCCTTCATCCGCTACATGCCCTCAAAAAGTGGCTTGCACCCTCGCCGGCTCTGCTCTGGTGTTGCGCCACGCACACCACCGGTTCTTTCCACATCTAACCCCACTGGGCTGCATCCTGCGCCCCCTCAAGAGGCTGGGGGAGACGACGCGCCCGACGCAGCAGCACCGCCTCGCTGGCACCGGCTAAAATTTGCGCTGGTGACACGTGCATGATCGACGCCGCGTCAGGCACCGCAACGGCGGCGAAAGGGTCGACTCACGCCAGCCCCAGCGCAGCAGCAAAGGGGTTACGTGGGAGAGTTGCGCAGGTTGTTGAGCTGGCGCAGTCGAGAGAGCTCGACAAAAGGTGTGTGGCTTTTGAAAGCCTTCTGGGACGCCGAGGTCAGTCTCCAGCCTTGATTTTACCCCCTACATTGGCTCATTTCCGTGGCACACACCCCCGATTGCGCAAAAACGACGGTAAATTTGCTTGTATACGTAAGTACTTTCTGGGTCACTTTTTCTTGTGTTTTAGAACTCATTTTTTCGCAGGGTTTTGCCGCTGGAGGCGTGAATAATGCCCTAGCTCACGCCCTCGCATCAACATGCCTTTACTAGTGGCTGTCGTTTCGTTTGCCAACGCGAGCAATGCGCGCCTACCAACGCCAACATCGATTGCAAACGCGGCAGGGAGCGCGCAATTGCTCAAAGGTGAGTTTTCGGGCCATACAGTTGTGGATTTCAATCGACTATCGGGTGTTTACTGTACTAATCCATTCAGTTCGCCAAAGTAAGCGCTGAATGGTTGGCGCCGTTATCCAAGCAAGTTTTCCGCTCCTATCTTAATGTGTTTACCTTGATTCAGACGACGTTGACGCGGGGACAAAGTAATCCTGTCTCAAAGGTGAGTTTCCAGGCAATCATGTGTTGTTCTTCATGCTAACTACTTTATAGTTTTGCCCACGATGGTGAACATTGTGGTACATCTGAAATGACACCTGTTCGCCGTTTCCACGCTGAGTTTGCAAATCGGAGGGGACGGAGGCCGCGATGACAAATTGAGTAGCTTGTGTCCGATGTTTGGTTGTAGGGAAGCATGGGCAGCTACTCCTGTGGTACTGGCCAGCCAAACTCGAAGGGCATCGTAGAATCATTGTACTCCAAGGCAGATTCACCTCATTTTTCGCCAGCTACATCTGTCTGAGACTGTCTCAGAGAGTTGAAATGATACTGGTGGATAATGTTTATGCTTGTTAACAATCCCGAATATGAGAATCTTCCTTGAGCTGACTTTAATTTGGTTCAGGTTAGTATCTACCATATACACTAGCTAGCGTATAAGTGATTAGGTAGTGATATATCACACTTTGATAGAATCCCAATCAGAATCTCAATCAATAATAGTCCCAGAATCTGATCACAATATTCCAGGCTGGAACATGTGATATATTCCAGGCCGGAATATTGAATGAAAACATGTGGCAGATTGAGAATATTCCACGGATCTGCTCAACATTTTCCGGGCTGTCATATACATGGCAGATGGTGAGAAAATTGAGGATATTCCACGGATATTCCTGTCATATTCCAGCCTAGAAAATGGAATGAATACACCCTGTAATATTCATAATGTTCTCAACATATTCCAGGGCAGAATATGCTCCATTGCCCGCAGTGTGACCGGGGTAATCTCGTGGATGCGGAGTCGTCCCGCCGAGTTCTGCCTTTCTTCCTCTGCCTCGAGCTTTTCCCGGACTTGAGCCTCCGTAAGACCTAAGTTAAGAACGTTAATCAAGATTTATAGCCTCGTTCGCAACGTACCCTCATCTTTTCCTTCATACGAATTCGGCTTTGTACCATCAGCTTCGTATTCGAGGACCATAGCCTTCCAAATCGGCACACGCTCCGTTTGCTCACGCGAGAAGTCCTCAAAGGCCACCCTCTGGACACTCTGCTCGTATAAGGCCGTATCGAGACGTTTTCGAAGAAGCGAGGCTATTTGGGGTATCAGCACAATGAGCGAAGCCTAGAGAAGAAACGACGAACGTAGACCAAGCATTTTTAACCAGTTTCAATGACTCCAATGATCATCGAGAAGATCAGATCTTGCCCCTGGCCCACTGACTCTTGTACTTGCTGCTACCCCGCCAATCATGCTCCATGGACGTTCTATTCCCTCGCCATCGGTTTGCGCTCCCCCGATGGTGTAATTGAGAGCGTACAAAAGTTGGCAAGATGTCGTATGGCCAAGAATGTGGAGTTTGGGTACAACGAAAATAAAGAGCTTCATGAAGACCTCTTGAACAAGGAGGAGTCGCGAAGCATATGAGGCAGCTTTCGAAGGCGGTCGAACAGATTTTTCCACCATTGGCAAGCAATATCATAAGAGATAAGTTTTCGAAGTAGTGGGTGCAAGTGTCGGAGAATGGAGCCGAAGATATAGTCCATGTTCCCAAATCTGGAGCTCGATAAGGCATGAACCAGACAACCAAAACTTAACGTACCGCTCCCCGGCTTGAAGGTCCGCGACTCCAGTCGGCTGGACAAATTCATGCCAAGCGCACACCCCCATTCCGACTCCCGTAGCGCTATAGCCCCGGGAAAACTTGGTGTTCACGTAGTCGAGTGCCGCTAATCCGGTGCAAGTACTGATCTACCAACGATATAAGTAATAAGATAGAATGAAGGTAGAAGAAAGATACCTCCTGCTGGTCGCCTACTTGGAGCAAATAAATATTTTTTTTTTTTTTTTTTTTTTTTTTTTTTGGTGGTACATAAAGAAGTAGTACAGTTAACAAGGTTATCCTACTAAATCTGTTGTAAAAGTGATGCAGCCTTTTTGGGGGGAGCACCTGTGAGAAGATGGGGGGATAGGGGCCACCGCCCGGGGAATGTATGTTTACACACCGCTCTCGCGGTAGTGTGGGGATCCGCCCTGGCTGTGTAGCCAGCCATCGGGGGCGGGACCCACTAAAACCCGGGGATCTTGGAGCCAGTCTTCTTGCGGGTTACCTAGCACTCGGAGCCACGTTCTCCTCACTATTGCAGGTTTTAGGGACGGGAGTGAGCCTCTTCCCCGCCTTTTTGCCAACACTTGGTCTATCTCCAGCCGACTGTTTATCGCTCGGTACCATCTGTTTACCACCTCCTTCGTCTGGTGCGGTGCACCCCCCTCGGGGATCACTCTCTCGTTCCGTAGCTTCCAGATCAGGTACGCCGACTCAGCTACCAGTATGCGGAAAAGTCGCTGTCGTGCCCGGGCTTCCTTGGCATCCTCCCCGGGTGGGGTTGCGTGCCCGCATCCGAGGACAGCCCCGAGTGTTAGGTCTGGCCATTCGGCGCCCTCACGGCACCAGACATCCTGGGCCAGAGTCCATATCTCTTCTCTGCCTACGTGTTCGCATTCTAGGAGTATGTGGTTGAGGTCCTCAGTTACCCCACATTTGTCACATTTGCTGATTGTGTCTCCGTCTGGGAAACTCTCCAGCCTCTTACCGATGTAGTACGAGTCGTGGAGGCATCTCCACAAGAAGTTGCGTGTCTGTCGTGAGAAGTCGCGGTGCCTTGCTGTCTTCCATATTTCGGCCTCGGAGACCGACTTGCCGTACGCATCTCTCACGTCAAGGCTGACACGTGTTATCTGGTGTCTCGTGCTCTTACGCGCTTTTCTCTTGCTGTTCTTGTGCTCACGGATCCCCTTGTATAGTTCCCTCTGGGTTGCGCCGGCCAGCTTCATACCCGGTACGTGGTAACCTTCCGGAACGCGGAGGTCGACTGACAGCGCCGTCTGCTTCGCTCTGCCTTTCTCGGCTAGTCGCTTAGCCTCCTTGGTGTTATGGGCCCTTGGTGCCGTCCTGAAGACCGTGGGGGCCTCCCTGGCCCGTAGTTCTGCCGCGAGGCACTGCCATACGGCTCTGTTCTTCTGTCCGACCCATCCTTTGGTCTCCCACTCGGTGAGTTTGCCGTTCATCGTCTCCGCGAGAAGCGCGGATGCGCTCACTATTCTCAGTTCTGTTTTCCTCGGCGTGGTCTTAATTACGCGTAACGCGGCGATGGCTTCTGTTACCAGCTCGGTTTGGTCTGTGTGTTTGGGGGCCCGGAAGGCTTCGTTTCTGGCGTTGCCTTCGTTGAAGAAAATGCCACCTCCCGCTGTCATCTCGCCTCCTCTGCGTCTGGCGGATGCCGCTATGTGGGCCTCCACGCCTCCCTGGGCGGTTTCTGCTGTTCTGTCTCGCCTCTGCCTGTGGATCTCGTATGCCTCCGGCGTCGCCACGGTCTTAGTAAGCACGTGGAAACCGTCTGTTTTCGTTTTTATTGGCGGGGGCGGGACAAAGTACTTATCTCCCCTGGGGTCTCCGCTTGTGGGATCCTCCCCGGGGCCGGTGGGGCCGGCCCTGTTTTTTCTCGGGTCCCATTTCGGGTCGATCTGGCTGAGTCTGGATTCAACGGTTTTCAAGCATGCGCTGGGGTTCGTGCAGCCCTTCTCCCTGTCCCCGTCGCACGCTACGCACCAGCACATCGCGTATGGGGAGTGTTCATCGTCGTCCTTCCGGGTGAGCATCTCCATTCCCTGTCCGACTGTGTGTATATTGTGGTTATTTCTCAGGCATTTCGCGGCGGGCGCGTTATTCACCTGCCTCACGTTCTCTTTCGCGGCGAAATGGTACCAGAGGGGGAGCTGCTCCTGTATCTCCTTGGCGGGGGAGGGTCGTGTCAAAAGACACACCGTATTTTTGTGCGCATGCAAGCATGCTGCGGTGCCGTTTGGGCCATTCCCTCCGGCTTGCATGCCAGGTCTGCAGGTACATATTATCCATCGCGTTGCTGTCTATCTTCGCGCCTCCTGCGGCGTGCTTCCGCAGGCGATGGTTTTGCGATCTTTGCCCATACTGGCTGCTTCGTGGGGTCTAGTTCTAGCAGGGACTCAAGCCTGACGAGAGCTATTTGCGTCGTTTCCTTGCTTCTAGGTCCAAGGCGCATTTCCCGCCCTCTTCAATTGGTGCCATCAATGCCTCCATGCTTATTGGTGCGGCCTTTTTTCCGCCGGCATAAAATTCCCGCTGAGATCTTAACAGGTGCTTTTTAACCTTTTCCGGCATTTCGTTGAACTGCGTCAGGTACTGCGTCTTGCCTCCGGTGTTCATCTGGTCGAAGTGACGTCTCTCCTCCATCGAGGGGTGTATGTTCTCAAATCTTGTGAAAGCCGCGTCGATGCTTTCGACCCGGGGGGTCCATACCGAGAAAGGTTCAACCCCGTTGCCTATCCAGGCGCCTAGAATTCGGACGGCCTCGCCTTCAGCGGCTATATGTATGTCCCCTAGCTCGTCTTGTCCTTCGGGGTTGATTTTTCTAGTGGCGCCTCTGGCGGTGTTCGGGGGAGCCATACGGGATTACCTCCGTCTTCGCCACATTAAAGCGCGCACCGGACGCAAGACACCATTTCTCCAGGATCTCGGTGAGGACGTGGTAGTTGTCTCCCTCGTTAAGGTAAACCGTTGTGTCATCTGCGAACATTTGGACTATAACTCTCTCAGTTGTACCTGGTATGGCATAGCCTTCGAGTTCGGATTGTCGTAGCATTTCGGCAAGCGGCTCAATGGCGATGTTGAATAAGAGGCAAGACAAGGGGGTCGCCTTGACGGACGCCCCTCGACACTCTGAATTTGGAGCTCACTTCTCCATTTATGATCACGCACGTGTCGGCGAGACGGTACAGTTCTTGGACTGTGTTGACGAAAGCCTCCGGGAGGCCGACGGACTTCAAGGTCTTCCACAGGTAGGGGTGTATAGTTTTATCGTATGCTTTCTCCTGGTCTAGGGTGATGATTGCCCCATTTTGCAGGTCGTCTTCGTCGTATTCCACGACTTCCATGGCAAGATGTATGGGGTCCGCGATTCTGCGCCCCTTCACGAAACCGGATTGGTCCCGGTGGATTATTTTGGGGGCAGCCGTCTCCAGCTTTTGGGTGAGTGCTTTTGTCATTATTTTATAGTCTGAGTTCAGGACAGTTATGGGCCTGTAGTTTGCTATGTCGGTCTTGTCCTTTTTTTTATAGATCGGACACATCCAGCCGTCAGCGAAACCGGTTCCTTCAGACATGCCGTTTTCCTCAATGTCATTGTAGACGGTCGTCAGTATGTTGATGATGTTGCAGGGCGGCGGTTTGCCACCCGTGCTGTCTGCGTTCCCGCTGTCCCTGGCTTCATTGTATCTGTTTGCTAGTCGGGTCCACAGCTCAGTGGGTATGCCATTTACCCCTGGCGCTTTTCCTGGCGCGCAGCTCTTTAGTGCTCTCCTCACGTCTGCTTCTGTGATCTTCTCTTCCAGGCAGTGCACGTCCGACGGGTCGCACGGGCTCATGTACTGAAGCACCTCATCAACGGCGGTTTCACGTAGGGCGTTGTCTATGTGCATCATATCTCGTTGTAGGTCATTGTGGTAATTTCTGGCCAGCTCCGCCATCTCGCTCGACTTCTTGGTGCCCACTGCTGGGTTTATATCGGTCCTTTGTAGGTACGCTATTGTGTCTCGGGGCTGTCTATCTTTTGTCAGCCCAACTGTGTACTTCGTCGGTCTATCCCTCTCGGTAAAGGCCTTCACTCTCGATTCAAGACGGCGGCGTGCCCTCTGCAGATCCTCCAGGGCGTGAATCTTGGACTGCACTAACGCAAGCTTTGCAGCCTGCTGGTTTTGTTCGTCTTCGCGACTGTATTGGCCCGCTCTTGTTCCTTTGGGGGTGGTCTCGGGTGGCAGGCCTGGAGCAAATAAGATTTATAGGGATCCCATTCAACCATATAAGCCCAGCCATTACTGAGAGCCGGATCTCTGATCTCATTGGAGATGGCGCAGCGTTTGAGTCGGAAGCAAGCATCCATCGCCAAAAGGAACACGTATAAGCCGCTAAAGCGAGGTTATCAGTATGGATAACAGCGTCAATAATTATAGCTTACGCTTGCGATGGAGGAGCATTTTGCCAGTCGTCGGGTAAATTGACCCCAGGACGGGGACAGGCAGGGCAACGTAAAGCTAGCTCCCCAGCCGCTGTGCCCAATACCCCTCTCGAGTCATAGCCACGGCCCCCATGCTTGAGTGACAATAAATGTCGGTATTCGCGCGCGATTCGAAGAAAAACCTGATATCGATCTGGGGGCTTGACTCCTGTAGCATTTGTTTGTGTTTCCAACGAACGGTAAAAGTCCCAGCCAGTGATTTTGCCGTGGAGCGTTAAACAATGGTACTGTTCGAGGCATTGGAGGGTTGCGCAGGTCCTTGGGTTGTCGGTTGTGGCAGGGTAAAGCCCAGCGCGCAGAAGTTGAGCATAGTACGCGTCTGCAGTTCTTCGACAGCCACAGTAGTCCAAAGAAACCTCTTGAAGGCCGTTGTGATGGATAATGAGGAAGTCGTGACGAGCGGGAATAGGTCGGTCGCAGCTTTGACGTGGCGGGTGGCCAAGCTGAAAGCGTAGTCCCAGCATCTTCAACGAGCATTTCTGGAAGTATGCCCCATTCCAGAACTGTGAAAATTTGAGCTGGACATATAACGTTGAGTTCACTGAAAAGATTACCTCGACCGAATGAAATGGGCTTTCTTGGTGTAACTCCACGCAGCAAGTCTGGCACGTTAAGACCCCCCCGAAACATTCTCTGCATCGATACAAGGGGTCCTTCTCGCCACAGTTGCCGCAATGCTCCCCAAAATCACCCCTCCCATGGCGCCAAAGCAGAATTCTCAGGAACTCGTCACGATGATGTAGCAGCCAGTCGCGCAACGCTGGATCCTAAACGAGCGGTTAGTGAGGGTCATTCAGCTGAGAGAAAGTCGTCAAACGCACAGCAGGTCGGAGAACGCGAGGCAACTTCGCAGTTTCTTGAGGGGGCTCTTCCATCCAATCGTCCTCTCCGGTCCCCATGCTGTATGCGTCCACGCGTATATCTAGAGGAGTTGGCGTATGGACAGGATGTTGAGAAGACATGGCCATTCGAAGCCGCTTCAGAGGTGAAGGCGGCAAAACCTTGACAGATTGTGAGGAGGTCCTTCGACTGTCTGTGTTATATCCGTGCCAACTCCGGCATCCGTCTCCGATATCCGTCTCCGGTATTTGGTTTTTGCGCAATGAAGATTTACTGAGCGTTTCCAATTACCCCGACTTATGATCTATGCAATCATCTATGCCTTGTTCCTCGTATGCAACTCCTCTTCTACTTTACTTGACTTTGTTCTAATCTTGTTACTTACTTTGTTATACCTTATTCCGTTTCCGTTACTTCTCGTACTATAAATACTTTGATGTATTATCACGTACTTCAGTTTGTAAATTAACGTTGCTGGTCTCTATCTCCCAGCGTCGTCTCGACTCCGCTCTTCTCTTCTTGTCTTGTCTTGGTCAACTGGAAGCCCCGGCCACCCAAACATCCTTCTGTGGTGTTCCGCCCCAAGTGCTCCACGACTTCGATTCCGTCTCCGACTTCGACTCCGTCCCCGTCTCCGTCTCCGTCCCTTTGGTCGACACGGCACTTAACAGTCTGCTGAGACACGTTCGATAGCTCCGTCAAAAGGCGCATTGAAAGTCGAGGGGCCCGCGGTAAGTGTAATAATGTGGGTGTTTAAGTCGGGGGAGGAGGAGCGAGCACGCTTTGGCTCGTTGCTGACGCCAGGTCATGGTGGTCAACAAAAAACCCAAAGCGGAAGGCTTGTCATGTGACTACATGTGGCCTCATAATTTCATGTAGCTCACAGCGTACCTATAGCTCGCTATTCACCAAGGTACCATCTTATTATCTAGTGCACAAATAACGTCTGGAACCTCCCACCTGTCTTTCTTCCCCACTATCCCACTCCATTACTCTTCGTGATATTGACAGAAATACAAACGAGACGCCTTGCGAGCTGCCCATCGCCACTGACACATGAAAATTGTATGGTTTCGAGGTTGCTCTTCTGGTTTGAAGCTATCGACCCAGCGAAAATGTGTGCGCCAAACCTGTAACGCAGCTTCGTCAGCCATCGACCGACCCATCGTAAGGTGCGCGTCAAACCTGTAATGCGGCTTCGTATACTTGCACTTGACGAGTACGAGCAGCTTCGCGCGACTCCCGCTTGAGTTGTTTGAGCTCTTTACGAAGAGCTTTGTCGGCAATGTATTCGCCCCGGAGTGAGTATCCATGCAGCGCTACCTCGAGACGACGGGTTTCCTTCTGATATTCAGCACTGGAGTGGTCCATCTCGTCGTTTTCTGGGATGTAGAATGGGAAGCCGACCCAGCATTTCAAGTCGCTGCCTTCAAGGTCGAAATCTCTATCGAAATAGTGCATGAAGCCTCTCTCGTCGTCAAGAACTTCGAAACGAGCTTGATCCAAAAGCAGGGCGGGAGGAAGTGGTTGACGGAGAGGTCTAGCCACCTTTCGAGAGTGACGATGGGCGTCATATGCTTGAGAAATGAGAGCTCCTCTTGGCACCACGAAGGTCATTTGCGTGAGTGAGACAGAATTCTCCAAAACACCGACATACCTGGTGCTATTGCGATACTTCTGTTGGCGAAGCCTATGGGCTTCCTTTCTTTCAGCCGGGGTGTGGTATTTGGTAGGAGGCGGCATAGCAGTAGATGAAGAACAAGTGCAAAGTATGAATCACACGCGTCACGGAGACAAATTCACACTAAAGAGAAGCGGAATTTCAATGAATATATAGGGAAAAACAGGAGCGAGATGAAGCACAAACCTGGGTCTGGGGCTAATGGGACGCTGCTGAGGATTTCCAGAGCGATTTGCGTCTGCAGATGATTTTGCTGGTGGTCGCATAGATAACAGAGTTAAGAAGTCGTCACGTCCATAGATAGTCAGCACGCCTGAAGGTGTTTTGGCATGTACTATAAAACTTTGGAAGAACAGATAAATGAGATTTCAATATATTTCGACGGGGGCAGACGGCTTTGAAATCATTGTCGGGTTCCACTATTTTTCTGTGCAGGCTAGATAATTTTCAATAGAGATACATAAATCCGTGACTTTTTACATCCCCTTCGATGATGTCTCTTCGAGAGAGCCTGGATATGATCCATGTATAGCTAGGTAGGGGCTCCTAAAAAGGGCTATATCTCGATCATTCCGTATTTTTAGGTGAAGTGCAGGCGATTTTCAATCAAGATACACAAATCCGTGACTTTTGCCACCCCTCCTCCAAAAAGCCATTTCCAGGTAATTGTAAAGAGTTTCGTCTAAACTCTTGTTGGGGCAGCTTATACAAGCAATTCCATCCACAGGATGAATTTAACTGAGCGCTCTAGAGGACCCCATATCGATGGAGAGATTTCTGAGACACGATTCGATAAGCGCGCGCTTGTCAGCTTCTCATCTAATCAATGTACTCATTTCTTGGAAGTAGTATATGATACAAGGTATTGATTCAGGTTTCTACGGTGTGTGCACAAGACAAAGACAGTAGTGTAAGACAAGAATAGTACGGTACACGTTGAGACGTAGGATATGTACTGGTAAGCTTTTACCAAGCGAAAGGGCTTGCGGTCGTGTTTTGCGTGAGCCAATCTTCATGGTTCGATGCTTCGTCGCCGAAGCTGCGCAACAACTCGCGCTGTTCATCAATGGTATCCATTGCACGTCGTAACACGAGTTCGACTGCCAAATCTTCCTCCTCAACCCACAGCCGGCCCAACTCACGACGGCTGTTCCAAAGCTTGGCGCGATGGTTCCGTGACAGTCCCTGGAGACGGCGAAGCTCCAGAAGGATGTGGCGTTTATCTGGAGCTCGAAGTCAGCGAATGATAGTGAAATGGAATGCTAAAATTTACCAGCATGCGGCAGACTTTCGATGTAAAGTCGATATTGTTCGGTCCCCGGATCTTGACTCACAGCTGGGACTACTGCGCGTAGACTGCCGTGGTCTTTGTCGCTCGGGTCGTTGATGGTCGCCTCCCTCTCGCAGTTAAGTTTTTGACGCCGTGGATTCCGAGTTCGATATTGGAGTAGTAGGCTCCGTTTCGCGCGCCCTATGAATGCAATTAGTCCCATCGTCACCAGTACTTGATAGCACTAGCCAAGAAGACTCAACCGCCTCTCCGTCTGTATGGGCGACTTCCGGGCCAAAGAAGACTTAGTGCGCTTGGGCGTGGAGTCGTGGGACTGGGACAATGACAATCGTTGTCCCGCAATCGGTGTTAGTCCTAGAATTGGGGAGGGGAGTTAGCTCGTTGTGAGTTTGGGACGGTATATATGCCAAGTACCTGGCAATGAGGAAGAGGGTGTAGTTTGGGCCATTGGGCATGAGATGGTGGTCGAATGCAGAGAAGTTATCCTGGCGCCACTGGTCGGATTCCAGAAGGGCGTCTTAAGGGCGTTAAGGAGGAGTCCGCATTCTCTGGAAAGGGTATTAGTTGTTGCCGAAAGGTTATTGCGGCAAGCCAACCTTGTTGCAGCCAGCCAGCCGTTGAGCGAGGTGGGAGCGAATAAGACCAAATCTCAGATAGTAACACAGCGTCACACTTGGTCGAATCGGAAAATTGCGTGATGATAATTGTCCAAGAAAAACAAAGCAGCGACATAAAAACTACTCAAAATTACATTGCCCCAACATCTCATATGCTCGAGAGGGGACCGGAATGTCAAAAGGCCCCCCATAAGCCCATCTGCCAGTGAAGATTTAGAGAAGGGGAGATGAGGAATTGTGATGTGGACGTACTCGCGGACAAAAAGGTCGATCAGAGGTATATCAGCCTCTTCGACGTTCCGGGGCTTGACCTGGTGAAGGCAGCTGGGCAGCGTCTTTTCCGAAAACGGCTCGATGGGCAAGTAGTCATGCTTGATGACGATGACTTGACCTTCCACAGGATAGAAGGGCATCGGGAAGAGTTTGCGAATGGCCTCGTTGGCCGTCTCGTCGTCAAAGCCATCGTCGGGGCGATCGTGCTTGCAGCGATGGATGATGGTGAAATTTCGTTCCATCTTTTTGCCCAACAATGTCGTCCACCCAAAGGGACATTCCGAGCACTCCAGGGGACGGGAATCCCAGACCGACGCAAAGCTCGAGATGACTTGGCCAACAGTGGAGTCGACCAGAGGGCGGGAAGTGGGGAATGTTTGGAGACCCATCTTGCCATCGATGCGATAGTAGCGGATGGTGATGGAGCCTTCGCGAAGCTATGAATCAACGAGTTAAGTGAAACTCTGGACAGTAGACGAGGAGGACTTACGGCGGGCCATCGTCGAGACAGAGGGAGCGGCAGACGACGAGGCGGACGACGAAGCGGCAGTGGAAGTGGACATGGCGGTTGAGTAAGGAAGCGAAATAGTGTACGTTTGTGTGACAAGACCACCGACGGGATCGCAAAATTAGGGCGACATTGCGAACCCAAAATGAAATGGCGGGCTGTAGCACCTGGTAAACCCTTCTGACCTTCTCTGGTCTCCCAACTCCCTCGTCAACCCAAAAAGAAAATGCGCGCAGGTCGAGATGATGATGAAAGCAGCGATAGTGGAGAATCCAAGCGAGGCAACCAAGGGAATTTTCATGGGAAGCGGCTGGAATTCCTAAATCAATGGGTGGAGGAGTACGCCTCGATCACGAAGCTGGGCAAGAGGCCCAAGCGTGGGTCAGGGAAAAGCATTTGGGACCGCCTCTTCCCAGAATACTGGAAGATAGCTCCTTGGCGCTGCCCGTTGACGACCGACCCACCAGACGACCCAGACGAGCTCCTGGACCTGGCCCGAGCACCAGAAGATGACGAAGAAAGGCTAGAGAAGGCCACTATTTTGAAGACTACGGAAAAGGCAGGTGTTGTTACCACTACTTATTTGGTCATTGCTAATGAGCCTTTTTCGCAGAGTATTATGTCGTGGTTTAGTCGCCAAAAGAACCAGCGCGACAAGCCAAATCCCTTCCAAGTGCTTTTGAAGCAGCTTCGTGTCGCAAATGCATCTTCGCCAAGACGGATTCCCGATCACCAGTTTTACATGAAGCCAC